GTTCCACAAAGGAACACCGCCGGCCCTTCTCTCCGAGAGACTCCCACTCTGAATGATCCCCGTGTCTGAGACAGCTGGAGGTGCTCGAGCACTGATGCAGTCGGCGGTCTGCATTGGTGTGAGGGCACTAGGGGAGTCCATGCCGTTGTGAAACCACGTAGGATCCCAAGAGCACCTGATTATGGAAGATGTAAAAGTTGAACGTAGTCATATGGTGACCCACGCTGGGAGCGGTGCACTTGGACACGGTGCATTTGGACACAGCCAATCACAGCACCGTGTGATTAGAGACATTTGTAGAGTCTCTTGGAACAGCGACTTGTGATTGGACTGTGTCCAATTGCCCCGTGTCCAACTGATATACACCCACCCACGCTACGTCTATTGGCCTACCACAGCCAGGCGCAGTGGAGATCTGGCCGTCTTTGAGTAAACCCGAGAAACTGTTCAACGGTTAGGCAGTCCGGCGAGGGGACGGTGCATTCTGGAAGGAATACCACCGGCCCTCCTCTCAGTGAGACTCCCCTTGAGTGACCTCTGGGTCCGAGACGGCTGGAGACGCTTGAACATGCAGTCGGTGGTCTGCAAGAATGCAAGAGCACATGGGAATCATAAGGTCGAATAGTGCCTGACTACGGGAGACTGCATCAAGAATCTCAAATCGTACGCATAAGCTCACATCCGGAAAATTGGGAGAAGAGAATTTTTCCTCAAAAACCACGAACTACAATAAAACATGAAACTGAGAACTTCGAATAAAAGCTCGAAAACCTGAAACACGGCACCGAGGAAGAGCCAAAAGTGGCGAATATACAAGCACAAGGACATAAGACCAAAAGGGTGAAGTAGCAAATACTACCTGAAAAAATGGCTATCACGAATCATGTCAACAATAAACATGAGGGGAAACCCTGGCCTAGTGCCGGGATTTCCCTGGTTCACGTTAATGACGTGCCCATATTTGAGGGAAAACCGTGGTTCTCACTGCATACTCTAATCGTAATAGGGTCAAGCAGTGACGAAGGCAAAAGGATGTGCAGGTGAAGAGAGGCCAAATGGCGAGGTATAAGCCATCCCTCTTAGGTTGCCTCCATCTTATGTAGGCCTTGCATTGTAACCCGAAAAGCAACACGCCGGGAAGCGGTCTGCTGGACCGCCAAAGCGTTTAAGTTGAATAGTTCAACGATAAGAGGCGACCTCGAATCGTGTCAGCGTCGCGTGAGGGGAGACCTCGGCCTAGTGCCGGGGTCTTCCCGGTTCACGTTGATGACATGCTCACATTTGAGGGAAGACCACGGACTTCACTGCATACTCGAATCGTGATAGGGTCGAGCAGCGACAAGGGCAAAAGGATGCGCAGGCGAAGAGAGACTAAATGGCGGCGTATAAGCCATTCCTCTCGGGTTGCCTCCACCTTATGTTGCCCGCGCACTACGATCCGAAAAGCAACACGCCGCGAGCGGTCTACGGGATAGCCAAAGTGCGTAAGTTGCATAATCCAACGATAAGAGGCAACCTCGAAATGTATCAACGTTGTGTGAGGGGAGACCCTGGCCTAGTGCCGGGGTCTCCCCGGTTTACGTTGGTGACATGCCCACATTTGAGGGAAGAACGTGGTTTGTATTGCATACTCAAATCGTGATAGGGTCAAGCAGAGACGCGGGTAAAAGGATGAGCAGGCGAAGGGAGGTTAAATGGCGATGTATAAGCCATTCCTCTCGGGTTGCCTTCATCTTATGTGGCTCGCGCACTGGGACTTGAAAAGCAACACGCCGGGAGCGGTCAACGCGACCGCCAAGACGTAAAAGTTGCACAATTTAACGATAAGAGACAACCTCGAATCGTGTCAACGTCGCGTAAGGGGAGACCATGGCCTAGTGCCGGGGTCTCCCCGGTTCACGTTGACGATATGCCCATATTTGAGGGAAGACCGCGGTTTGTACTGCATACTCGTATCAAGATAGGGTCAAGCAGAGACGCGGGTAAAAGAATGAGCAGGCGAAGGGAGGTTAAATGGCGATGTATAAGCCATTCCTCTTGGGTTGCCTTCACCTTATGTGGCTCGCGCACTGGGACCTGAAAAGCAACACGCCGGGAGCGGTCAACGCGACCGCCAAGGCGTTGAGTTGCACAATTTAACGATAAGAGGCAACCTCGAATCGTGTCGGCGTCACTTGAGGGGAGACCCTGGCCTAGTGCCGGGGTCTCCCCGGTGGGAGCGGTGCACTTGGACACGGTGCATTTGGACACAGCCAATCACAGCACCGTGTACTTAGAGACATTTGTAGGGTCCCTTGGAACAGCGACTTGTGATTGGACTGTGTCCAATTGCCCCGTGTCAAACTGATATACACCCCTCCCCGGTTCACGTTGGTGACATGCCGACATTTGAGAGAAGGCCACGGTTTGTACTGCATACTTTAATCGGAATAAAGTCAAGCAGGGATGCGGGTAAAAGGATGAGCAGGCGAAGGGAGGATAAATGGCGGCGTATAAGCCATCCCTCTCGGGTTGCCTCCTCTTTATGTGGCTCGCGCACTGTGACCCGAAAAGCAACACGCCGAGAGCGGTCAACGCGACAGCCAAGGCGTTAAGTTGCACAATTTAACGATAAGAGGCAACCTCGAATCGTGTCGGCGTCGCTTGAGTGGAGACCCTAGCCTAGTGCCAGGGTCTCCCCGGTTCACGTTGGTGACATGCCGACATTTGAGGGAAGACTGCGGTTTGTACTGCATACTCTAATCGTAATAGAGTCAAGCAGGGACGCGGGTAAAGGGATGAGCAGGCGAAGGGAGGTTAAATGGCGGCGTATAAGCCATCCCTCTCGGATTGCCTCCTCCTTATGTGGCTCGCGCACTGTGACCTGAAAAGCAACACGCCGGGAAGGAGTGGCATTCAGTTGGACACAGTACAATTGGACACGTTGCAAATGGACATGGCACT